AGTTGAAAGCAAATGCAAACAAGTCTATTGCATTACGCAATAACTTGCAATATGCCGCGTCTAATTACGTACAATTTAAAGTTAAAAATAGCACAAACGAACGATGATTTCCATTAAGTTGTTTAAAAAAAAGTAACATTATTTTAGGTAATACTTTCATTCTTAAAGTTTTATAAGATGATGTTTATTTGATTAATCAGATATTGTTTGTAAACAAAGATCAATAAATAAACTTCAATAATAAATAATTTGCAAGAAGTGAATGTAAAAACTTGCACTTACCGCTAAGAACGGCGATACTCAGTTGCTCGGTGTTCAAGTTCTCCACGTACTTGCCCAAGTAATTATTGAGCACCCACGCCACAAGTCCTTCCAACATTTTCTCCTTCAACTGCGCTCACTCCTACGTTCATAATGTTTGTCTTCGACCTAAAGAATAAAAAAAAAGTACAAATTAGAAAGAAACTTACTGAATACTCGAGTAAATCAACAGAAAGTTAAGCAACAGTTTGTATTTGAATTGGTGATCAATGTTTTTCGCAAAGTGAAATAAACAAGTACTTATGTCACATTCCAATCAACAAATTTACTGTAGTCATGGATACTGATGAGATGCAATAATTATTAACAAAATTACTGAATGGTTTTACTTGCCAAGTAGCGCGTAATAAGCTTAAATCTTCAACGAAACAATCGAAATGAATTGGAATCAATAGCCGGGTCACGTACTATTGACATCAATTGAAGAAAACGCAGATCCAATTAAAACAACAACAACAAAAAACAATCGATTTCTCGTCCAGAGAATAAACAAACTAGATCTAAATAAAGAGTGTTCCAAAAAAAAAAACACGATCATCTCCAAATAAACACAAACATATTACTACAACATCATAAAAGCGTACAAACTTAATTTCGACACAACTTTGGCTCCGACTCAAATGGAAATCGCGAAAAAACGCCTTCATACGTAATTTGGACAGCGTTATTTTCATAATAGAATCACGTTTCTGATGAAATTCGCAATTCGACATTAAACTTCCGCAATTTAGTCCGTTGTGTTATCTAAAGATTAAAGACCGTTACGTGAGTTGCGGAGATAACAAAAGTTTCCAACAAAATATATTAATGAATAGGAATTGTGTGCATTTAGAGCATGTTTTGCGTTAAGTTTGTGTGTGTTTTGTATTGTTCATTTACGCAAGACAAACATTTAGTATTTTCCTACACTATCTTATCAAATGGATGTGTCTAGTCTATAAGCTAGATCAATACAACTTCAATTGGTTTCGTCTTGTAAACATTGGATGTGAATCAATAATTGCGATTATTGCAGAAATATTTGTATGATATTAGTACAAAAACATAAATAAAATGAAACATTTTTAAGATCAAGTCTTTACAAATCAATAAATACAATGTTTATGTAAAGAGAAATGTAAATAAAGCAAGCGTTGCAGATAACAATACTTGCGTCTGTTAACAGAAAAACGAAACTGAACAATTATAAAAAAATGTAATTCTTATTAGATTTCTAGAATTTTGATAATTGAGATTCGTTTTTAATAATGCTACGAAAACATTAATTGCAATGAGGCTATGTAAATGTAGGTTAGGTCATGATGAAATAGGATTAGGTTAGGTCAAGTTAGGGTATGTTGTGTTAGGTTTTAGATTGTGAGTTGATCTGATACAAGGAAATACTAAAATTGCAGTGAAACACAAGTGAAAGTTATTGTTGGCACAGATTTGCTGTAGTGAATTTAATAAGTAAAACTATTGGAACATCAAGGATGCTTTGAAAGGATTGACATTTGCTTGAAACAAAACGAAAAGTGTCAGATGAAATCAATGAGTGGAGAAGACAATTGTTTTAATAATTCAAATACTTTTATAGAGATTTGGATATGAATGAATTGCTTGCAATTTCTTGATTGATGTCAGTGTCCTATATGCACTTTAGGTTTTGTATAATTCATGCAAAGTTCATACTTTTTATTTGGAACATGCAAAATCTTAAGTGAGAGACTTTGAACTTGTTTTGAAGTGCCTAACCTAAATGACTAACGGCTAGAACAAAAACTTTATACTATCATCATCATCTTAGAGTCTATGCACCTGTAAATCGGCGAAGATCATCGGTTTCTTTCAATTAGATTTGCGGTAGGAAAATTGGTCCACACTTTGGATGCTGTATGTTTTTTGGCACGGAATAACCCACAAAACTGATCCGTGATTCCAACGCAGTCTGCACTCAATTCACTCACACGCAAAAGTTTGAACAACCACCGCTGCTACTCAACTAAAAATGAACCAATTTTGACATTTACCCAGCGATCATCACTGACAGAAGAAAACACCACATTGACTCATGCACTCTGATGACGTAACCGCTCGGAACCTCTCTTCTCTTCCTGCTGCTCTTTGACCCTATACTTCCGCGTAACACTTCCTTGCGCGTTTGGTTGCATACACTTCAATATTGGTTCATCTGAAAAACTTTTGCAATTATAGAAATTATTTAGTTATTTGCATTATACAAGTTCATCATCTTTATATTCCAATAATTATAACATGTTACATGTGATATGAAACTACTAGATTGGGGGAAAAAATCCAATTAAATAGAAAGTATAAAATATAAATATAAACATACAATTGTTCAAACTGATGCGAAAAGAAATATAATCAATGTTTTTGGTTTAATACTAGATATCACGTTCGTAATTTTTCTTTTCTTTTTTTGTGTAATCATTAAACATCAACAAACACGATGAGAAATACAGAGAGTGATTGAAATCATGAATTCAATCCAGATTCCTTGGACTTCTTCAGGTTGTTATCGAAGCTGGACAAAGAGTTGTACTCCAGAGAAGTACTTTTCTTGTTGAATATACCGTTATCGCCGTTTTGCGAGCAATTCTCGGATATCTCCGGAGTCGTTCTCTTCTGCGTGATCCACACCTTCACCGCAAACTTCAGCTCGAGGAGGAAGGCTTCCCCGTGACTTATCTGCAAATGTAACTTTCAGATTAATGCACAACATCGAAGATATTAGATATTTGCCTTCAGATCTACAGAAACTCGATGGACGTTCCAGAGGAATTCGACGATCGCAAAGATCATGGCTATGGAAACGCTGATGCCCAAGACGAGGAAAACGCCACCGACGTTGGCCAATTTCAGTTCCGCAGAAGAACTACCATCATCAACATCCTAAAAATGTAATAAAAATTGCGTTTTCTTTTTTTGTTGACAGATGACGTAAGAGGCTGTAAAACTCTTATGGAGGCTCAATGGTCTAGGGGTATGATTCTCGCTTTGGGTGCGAGAGGTCCCGGGTTCAAATCCCGGTTGA